TACTGTGCTGCCCGGGGTAATACCGGGGTTTAAACTCTGACTTAAGAAGATTCATGCGTTAAAATTTTCCTCAATTACACTTTGTCCCTGACTTGCTCAAGCGGTGACACAATGATTATTTCACCTTAAGATTATTCACCCTAACCTAACCAAATATAACCTAACCTAACCAAACTCAACCTAACCTAACCTAACCTAACCTAATCTAACCTAACCTAACCTAACCTAGTTTAACTCGCTCAAGAGATAACACAAAGGATCACCTAAACATTAGCCTCCCAGCTTATATTAATCTTGCCCTAACATAATATAACCTAATTTAGCCACCCCACCCCAAGTAGCATTAGGATGTTTGAATATCAGATGAAATAAACAGAGATGGAGGATCTTCTGTTGGTATCACTAAAATGATGGACTGAATGGTATCAAGATAGGATGGGAATAGTGTAGTACGTGTGTTCATTATCTCGTCCTGAGTTACGTGAGAGATACTTGAGATAGTTACGTGAGAGATACTTTAGTTACGTGAGAGATACTTTAGTTACGTGAGAGATACTTGAGTTACGTGATATTTGAGATAGTTACGTGAGAGATACTTAAGATAGTAACGTGAGAGATACTTAAGATAGTAACGTGAGAGATACTTAAGATAGTAACGTGAGAGATACTTAAGATAGTTACGTGAGAGATACTTAAGATAGTAACGTGAGAGATACTTAAGATAGTAACGTGAGAGATACTTAAGATAGTTACGTGAGAGATACTTAAGATAGTAACGTGAGAGATACTTAAGATAGTTACGTGAGAGATACTTAAGATAGTTACGTGAGAGATACTTAAGATAGTAACGTGAGAGATACTTAAGAAGGTTCTGGGGTTTAGCTTGTGTTTGTTGTCTGTCGTAGTTATGATTACTATTATAAATATCAGTAGAAGAGAAAGATAATGATTGTGGTGTTGGTTGGCTCTGTTTTACCTCCTCATCCCTCTCCTCGTCCTCTCCCCTCCTCCTCATCCCTCTCCTCGTCCTCTCCCCTCCTCCTCATCCCTCTCCTCGTCCTCACTGTAACCACCAGCCTCTTACACAACCTGTGACACTCACCGTTATTGAAAACCAATATTCCGACGCCACCTTCAGATGTGGTGTGTAGGGGTGGGGGTTGGGTTAGGGGTGGCTTCCTGTCACTTCCACGAAAACGCTGTAATGACGGTGTTTATATTTATCAGTTTACAGTAGTTGTTATATATCTACCAGGTCGTCTCACAGTACGCTAATTTTGACGTCACACACCACCTGACAACGTTCTCCTATTAGCTAGACGAGGAAGGAAGGTTTATCACGTGTGCAACTTGTGTACTTTCCGTAGTGGAAAAGTACCACAACTCGTATGGCCAGTTTGAATACTCTATGACGGGGGCTTTATATATATTATTCATATATTCATGTGTAAAGTGTTTGAAATATTGTAAGGTAATGATAGGCTATGATGATGAAAGGTTATTAAATGGTGTGTAGATCTTTACGAGGAAGTATGTGGTGAGCTGATGACCTTGTAAATAGATTGGTAGCGGTACTTTATATTTGCATTAGTAGTAGTTCATAAATCTTGGGGTTTTTTAAATATGTTTTTATAAAGCTTGATGCTTGAATATTTATCCCAGTTAGGGGAGTTTATTTTAGCAGGATATTTATGGTATATGTATAAAGATTCTGGCAATTTGTGTCGAAAATGTAGACGATCGTACTTATCGTCTTGTCGGCGCGATAGCTTGGGCGTGTGTAATGTTTTTGTTTCGGAGTACGGTGCTGCCTGGCGTACGATCATGGCGCTTTTACAATCTTCCCGCCATGATGTCTGGTCTTCGCTGGCCTCGAGTTGGAGAAAACTGTTGATGTATTCAGGGTACCACACACCTGACTTAGAAGGCAGTAGACCAAGGGTAAAGTTAAAGTTGAGGCGTAAGGATGTCTAAAAAAGTTGAGGTATGGATGAGTAAACATTGTGTGAGAGAATTGGCACACCCGTGGATAGAATGGAGGCAGGATAATGGCAGACAAAGATAAGGAACAGATATAAATACCAGGAATAACAACAACGACTAGCTGGGTTTTAGCCTTTTGTGGTAAACCTGACGCCATGTGATGAAGGTCTTGTGTTAGGATGATAATTAGATAGTCACTGGCGGATCACATCGTCACGAGGGTAAATTTAATTTAGTGTTTACTTTACCTGTGATTAATTTTTTTCTTTACTGCTGAACATTGATTGCTTAAACCTAAGACTTCTGTCGCACAATGATGACTGACCTTGACGGCATTTTTAAACAAGTGGGATTTATTTTCTTGTTAATTTCAAAATCAAGTTAAAACCTTTATACACTGACTCTATCAAGGTCTTGTATTATGGCTCGTAGTTCAACAGTCAAGGGGGGGAAGGAGTCTTGCGTCTGTACTGAAATATTGATCGATTTTCCTCCTTCTTTACACTACCACAGTTGCCTGGCGATAAAATAACGCCAACACAGCCATGAACAGCGTGGGTGGGGGCTGCGTTACGCGAACAGTCCCCCAACATTCTGTCTATATTGCTTTGTTTTTATCATTCGAGTATTGTAAAGATATCGTGTTACGCCATTAGTTAGTGAATCGTTAAGCGTTATCCTGTAATGTAAGATGCGCTACAAACTTAGTCCCATAGATCCCATGATAAAGACCACTAATGTAGCTAAAAATTGGGCAATTGTTCGGCCAGGTTCAGCTTCTATTAAAGGATCATTGGATTAAGTGGTGACACCGGACTCTTCGTTCCAGCATTGTTTGGCGTGAATTTCCAGCATATTCTGTCCTTGAGCGTGAGTGAATATTATGTGGTGACTGGTGAGCCTGACAGTCGGATATGAGAGCCACAGGATGTCAGTTGTTTTGAGCCGTGGTGCGTCACCGGGCGGCCTGGAGCCCAGATATCATGTTGTCTTATCACCACTCTTACCTCCGTCTGGCTGCCTCTCTCTCGCCTAGATAGTGTTATCAGGTTTTGGCTGCCGCTGCCAGCCATAAGCCCGTCACAGTCCACTAACACGGATGGTCAACAGTGTGTTAGGTTAGGTTAAAATTAAACTGTACGTGAAATCATAATGTGGATTGAACTCCCCATCCACCTCCACCTCACTTCTAGTCCACTTAAGTAATACAGTGGTTCACATTCCTCCAGCTGTAGTCTCTTTAAATTCTGATGTCCATTTTTAATTAGTGTGTCAGATACCTTAATTTACCTTGGTAGTTTACCTTTGTTGATTACTGATACCGTAAAGTGTACTAGTTACGATTGATATTGATAATTACCAGGCACTTACCTTGTCCTGGGGTCACCTGAAGATTAGGCACCACCAGCAAACTGCACTTGAAGATTGACCATTTTAACGCTAACCAAACCCAACCCAACCCCAACCCAACCCAACCCAACCCAACCCAACCAACAAACAACCCCAACAACAAAAACAACCTTAACCCAACAACCCAAACCTTAAACCAACAACCCCCAAACCAACCCAAACCCAACCCAAAACCCAAACCCAACCCAACCCAACCCAACCCAACCCAACCCAACCCAACCCAAACCCAAACCCAACCCAACCTAACCTAACCCAACCTCCTTGTAAGTACCGTTAGGGTGGTTAATCTTCAGGTGAAATAAGGTGCGGTGTCTAATCTTTACGTGATCCTTTTCCGGTACTTGACAGACACTCATAATGTTGACGTGCAAGGCATTTTGATAGTCCGACCAGCTGTGTTAGCCGGTGTAGCCTCGGTTATTTCTGTCCTTGGATATTTTTAGGTGTGTGTGTGTGTGTGTGTGTGTGTGTGTGTGTGTGTGTGTGTGTGTGTGTGTGTGTGTCTTCCTTAAATAGCTTATTGAAAGGCTCTCACACGGGATTGGAATTTAATATTGTTGTAGGGAGGAATGATCACGTGTAGATTCGTCCTCCTAGCTTATTTGACCTGAAGATTAGCCACCCTAACGATACCTAGGGGGTTAGATAAGGTTAAGTCAGGTCAGGCCATGCTGTGTAAGGTTATATTACGCAATGTTATGTTTGCATCAAGGTGATTAATCAACAGGTGCAATAAACTTGAGAGGCGGTTCTTCAGGTGATCGGAAAGTGAGGGAGGGAGGGGGAGGGGAGGCTATATCGGGCGGGAAATGTGGGCTTGATGCCATACTCACCTTCCGTCTGTTCGGGGACATTGGTTTAATCAGTAATGAATCCCAGGTGAGTTGTTAGGTGTTGACTCGGGCGTTTATCTACCAATTCTACGTGGTTCTGTACTGCTGTCACCGGTACCAGGAGAGGTAGGTTATATATGGGAGGGGGAGGTGGGTGGATGTAGAGGGTGGGGTAGGTTATATGGGGGAGGGGAAGGAGGGTGGGTGAGGGGAAGGTGGGTGAGTGAGGAAAGTGAAGCAGGTTTTGCATGAGACTGTATCCGGTAAGGTTTTTTTTATTTATTGTACGTCACGAGATACCAGGCTCCGGGATGCCCTTCCAAGAACCTGCACAATGAGGAACTTCCCCCTTCTCCCCCTCTTCCCTCCTCCTCTTCCTCCCCCTTCCTCCTCCTCCCTCCACTACGTGAATCCCCAGACCTCCAGTCGCCACCTCCCTCATTGTGTTGTGGGAAATGTTTAGGTGTTCTTGATGTTTTCCTTGGATAAACACCCGAGTCTTTGGCAAGCTAAGGAGTGTATTACCTTCAACCGCTGAGTCACTCACACGAAAGAGAATGATTCAATGTTTGGTTTTTCATTTCCAAACCAATAAAGGCGAGAAGAAGAAGAAGAAGAAGAAGAAGAAGAAGAAGAAGAAGAAGAAGAAGAAGAATCGCGGTGGGCGGTAACTAGGTCGCTAGTGATGTCCTTAATACAGGAGATGTTCATGTACTGTACAACGGGGGGGCAGCCTTCTCTCCGACCTGACCTCGTGTGTGTGTGTGTGTGTGTCGACCTGTGGTGTAGTGGTCAGCATTCTCGCCTCGCAAGCGTGCGGACCCGGGTTCGATTCCCGGCAGGGTGAAACTATGGCCAAGTTTCTTTACGGCTTACGCCATTTGCCTCTGTCTACCCAGCAGTAGTTGGGAACCTTAATGTTAATCGATTTGTGGATCATGTTCCGGGGTAATGATTAGCCAGTGCAGTTGGCGAGCTGTCCGGTCTTCTCGGACTTTTCCTTGACACTGGGTCATGCAGCTCGTTAACTCAGGGTGTGGTTGTTGTGTTGGCGACAGCATCTACTGTACACCTTAAACAAATTCACGCCTAGGTAGCCCTAGGGCCGGCCATCCTCGTTACACGAGGGGCAACCATTATTAGTGTGTGTGTGTGTGTGTGTGTGTATCAGCGGGTAGTGAGGGTGTTTATGTGTATATGTTTTTGTACGTGTAAATTAGTGCTGAAGATTACAGAGCAGTGTGTTGATTAGAGGGTATAATGTAGGGGTAGGTGGGAGATCGTGTGGTGGTGGTGGTGATTAGTTTAGTTGGGAATGGTGGGTCGGCAAGGGTGATGACGTTGACAGCTGGGTTGACAGTGAAGGAGAGAATGTGTGTAGGCAGGAGGAGAGTGTGGGTGTATGTGGGTGGGGTTGGCTTAGGGGAATGACACTGTCAACCTGAAGGCGTTGAAAGAGGTGAAGGTAGACAATGAAGGGAGGGTGAGTGGTCTACCTGTTTGCCCAGTACCTCTTCTTCATGATCTGACTGCTTCGTCAGGGTAACTTTCTCCAACCAATTGTATAATGTCTTTTTTGTATCCATCATGACTGTCAGAACAAAACACACACACACACACACACACAGACAGACAGACAGACAGAAGTTTCCCAAGCGAGGGTAAGCGCAGTGGCAGCTCTGAGTCGGGGTTCTTTCTTGGGATTTCTGTGTTACGTCAGGAGGACTTAAGTCAATACGAGTTTACTCTTAACTCTGGTTTTCTTGCGGGTCGAGGCATATGATTTCCATTCCTCTTACTAGATGAGAATGTATCGTCTCAGATCAGGGCTTTGTTGAAGGCCCTAGCGTGTGTCTCTCTCTCTCTCTCTCTCTCTCTCTCTCTCTCTCTCTCTGGACCTTTGCCGCCGGGTAAATTTGTGTGACTGGACCTTCACAATTAGTAACTGAGTAACCCTGCCGTGAGTTATCGCACTGGGTGGTTAGATATTAAGCTGTTTGCGACTATGACAAATAATTTTTGTGGCATTCGATTGTGGATTCGGTGGAGCTTATAATTTCAAATGTCTCCATCCCCACCTTTCTCCACACACACACACACACACACACACACACACACACACACACACACACACACACACACACACACACACACAGCGGGTTTAGTAGATCTAGGTCTACGAGTATTTGTTATATTTTGATGTAGATATCACTTTTATTATGCTGTAAAAAAGGGGTCATGACTGTAAACGTGTTAGGCACTGCTTAATCTGAGCTACGTATTGATCGGTCGGCCTAAACCGTGTGGCTGTTAGGGAGCAGATAGTTGATACTATTAACATATGCACACAATCAAACACTTTATCTCTACGTGACCGATAAATTTCAAAATGAACACCGTTACTCCTGTCGTCTCGGTAAGTTTGTCAAAATCCTTCGTCCGTTGTGTCATATTGTCTAACACGAAATTATAAAAGTTGTAAAAAAAAATACTTACCATTTGAAGCTATGATAGATAACACGGAATAGCGTAAGTAAGTATTGTGATTATGAGTCTATTATCAAGTTGAAATTATAGAACGGAGGGTGTGTATATTTCATGCCTTAACACACTGTATATTGGCAGGTGTTTCTGAATAAGTTATTTCTGAGAACGGGAGTCTGGGAGTTGTGCTTGTCGATGTGGTGGATGATGGTGGTGGGTGATGGTGGTGGATGATGGTGGTGGTAGCTGACGGTGGAAGGTGATGGTGGTGATGGCTGACGGTGGGTGGCTTGATTGACCTGCCCTGAAAGTCTTGTTTGTTATCCAAGACGACAGTACCTGGTGACTGTGTATACCTGTGTCATGCTTGTATTGCTGGCTGCACACACACACACACACACACACACACACACACACACACACACACACACACACACACACACATTAAAATCCCTTAACAGAATTATACCGCTGAAGTGGAGCAAATCCTACCTGTTCAAGGGCATTTAAATCGTAGACCCCAGTTAGTTGAGATCAATTTAGGTTTGATTATGTTAAATTATATTAAATTATGTTATAGAAGGATAGGTTAAGTTATAATAGGTGTGTTAAATGCGCATTGGTTGGGTTATGGTACGTTATGTTAAGTTAGGGAGAGTAGATTATTAGACTGGGTTATGTTAGATAAATCTACGTTGAGTTATGCTAGTTTAGATAAGGTTAGGTTAGGTTACGGTATATAAGGTTAGGTTAGGTTACGGTATATTAGGTTAGGTTACGTTACGGTATATTAGGTTAGGTTAGGTTACGGTATATTAGGTTAGGTTACGTTACGGTATATTAGGTTTGGTTACGTTACGTTAAGGACTGTCAACCGCACCAGGCGTCACTCTCACAACATGAACCGTGAGTGTGTTTGTGTTTACATGTCTCAGTCTCTATCTACACCCACGTAGACTTTGTTGTGTCAAGTACATCGGAGTAGACTTTGGTCAAGTGTGACGGGGGGCGGTTGCTTGGCGGTGGTGGCTCAGTGCACGATAACTATACCAAGGTCTCCCCCCCCACTCCCCCCCTCAGTGTGTGTGTTGTTGTTGATCTCATTTTCATCTTTAAGGGTAACTTGTTTTATCTTTTCATTTGGGTTAATTCATCCTAGAACACCCTTTAATTTTGTTTATTTGTTATCTGTAATAACCCCTTGGAGTAGGAACGAAAAAAATGGATGTAAAAAAAAACACTCGTGAAATAAACGAGATTTTCTGAAAACTACCAAACTCAATGAGAAATGTCAGTGGCGTTCGGTCAGCTTGTTATGGTGCATTCACTGCTATCATTATGTGGCATTTCAGCACAGTGCCATCCTGTAGAGGTCGACTCCACGGTATACAACACTCTGTTTAGCTAGACACTCTACCACCTCAACGTAAATAGGATTTAGAAGGTGAATGACATCTGATGGTCACAGTCCCGGGGTCAGGCACCAGTTGGAGTTATCAGTGTGGTGTCTTAGAGGGAGTAAATGTTTCTCTTATACGCAGGACTTGGTTTAATTGTAACTTTACTCTGTCCCCTGTCACTCCTTCATGTCTTGGATCACAATACTTGTTCAGAAATATATTAATAACAACATTCAGGTATATTTTAATTAGCTTTGGTTACGTTAGGTTGGTGTTTGGGTGGTTAATCTTCAGGTGAACTATGCTTAGGTAACTAATCTACAGGTGATTCCATAAGCACGTTAAAGTGTAGATACAAGTAGTAACTATTAAAAGTGCGACCCACAACATTCCCTTCAAGGATGACCATCGTCCTTGAGGCACGTCGTATTTTTTTTCTTCTGAGTTATGGGGTTGGTGGAGACTGGTTGTGGTGTTGTCTTGGACGTTGGCAGCGAGGTTGGTTGTCCAGCTCTGATCCTCAACTCGTTATGCAGGTAAACAATTGGAGGTGTGGCAAAAGGCGCGGACTTCCTCCTGAAGATCCGCCCTCTCTCCCCCCCCCCCTTCCTCCTTAAGCTTATTTCACTTGAACATTAACCACCGTAGCGCTACTCTAACCTAACCTAACCTAACCACCATTGGGATTTTGTCCATTAAAAAATGGTATAGGTGAGTTTTTCTCCCGACACAGGCACAACTGCCAGGCAAGGGTTGATTTGTCATTAGTCCAAATAGGCCCCAGCTCCAATTGACCCCTCGTCCTATCAGGCCCCAACATAAGCTGACCTAAATTAGCCATTAGCATTAGTTAAGTTTGGGGCCCAAAACCTGGCAGCTCATCAGCACTGGGTCATGGAGGCCAGCTCCTTCCTGTGGAACCGGGTTAACCACCTCTGTTTATTGTGTGTCCTAGATCACACTGTGGACACGCGTAGATCACACTGTGGACACGCTTGGATCACTCACCTGTCACACTGTGGACACGCGTGGATCACTCACCTGTCACACTGTGGACACGCGTGGATCACTCACCTGTCACACTGTGGACACGCGTGGATCACTCACCTGTCACACTGTGGACACGCGTGGATCACTCACCTGTCACACTGTGGACACGCGTGGTGTCACCACGCGTGGATCACTCACCTGTCACACTGTGGACACGCGTGGCTCACCCACCTGTCACACTGTGGACACGCGTGGCTCACCCACCTGTCACACTGTGGACACGCGTGGATCACTCACCTGTCACACTGTGGACACGCGTGGATCACTCACCTGTCACACTGTGGACACGCGTGGCTCACCCACCTGTCACACTGTGGACACGCGTGGCTCACTCCCTCACACACAGCGGGAGGAGGGAGAGGACCTATTATACCCCACATCTAGGGGAAATAAGGCTTCTATCCGTATGAGTACTCTCCGTCGGGGGGAAGTAAAGATACTATTTCCTCGTGAACTATTGATACTATACGGGGGTGTGGGTGAGGAGAGGGAGGAATAAAGAGACCACCTGAAGATTAGCCACCCTAGTTTTATTTCACCTGATGATTAAAAACCCCTAAAACTAACTAGGGGGGGGGAGGTTAGACCAGGCTAGCATCAGGGTGTTTAATCATCAGGTGAAATAAGCTGGAGTGGCTAATCTTCAGGTGATCGGAATGTTCTTGGCTGTATCACTTGGTCGTCCCTCGAGGGTAGTAGAGGCTTTGCAGGCCAGGGAGATCGACAGGAGGTTCTACATTGACCCAGAATCATGGAGGAACGTTAGTCGAGAGTGATGATAAACTGTCAACAAACATCCGGTGTGTGTGTGTGTGTGTGTGTGTGTGTGTGTGTGTGTGTGTGTGTGTGTGTGTGTGTGTGTATCTCCTCCTCTGCTGTCCTACTTCTAAATAACTATGCTCCTCTCCTCCTC